TTCAATTTCTTCACTCACAATAAATCATTAGCAAAACTAAGTCAGCTGTTATAAACTTTAGAAATATTGCTGTGCCTTATCAATACAGTCTTTTTAAATATTAAAGAAACTATATCTATGGGTACTATAAAATATTTTAAACTAATAATTTAGCGTTAAAGACAGCAGACAGATTAATATGATTATCAAAGCATCAAGGACTAAAAAATGTAATAGCAAATACAGTATATGTTTCATTGCATCTCTGATTCTACTCTACAAAATATCAAAAACCAACTTAATATACAAACCAGTTCTTTTAATCTGTCCCATCGTCCATTGCCTTTACATTTTCACACTTACCATTAAGTAAGCATAGTGACAGATAATTCATTGATTTTAGAAACAAAAGAACACTGTGTACTGCTTAGTTTTATAATATTTTTCTTGGTTTAATTTAATCAGTGTTGTGGAAAAACACTAATAATAAATGTATCAAATAAAGTAAATGTGAACTTAAAGCCATGCTAAGATAAAACAAGAGTATGTTGTATTATCATTTGATAATTAAATATAGTTATACATATACAACAGATTTTAGAAAACTAAAATCAACGACGTACAATTTAGTTATTGATGATATTCTTTAGTTTAATTTATGCATAGGTTTGGCAAAACACAATAACTTAATTTACCTAAATATATATATAAAAAACAATGTGATGTGCAAGTTATGTTAAGTTAATCTAACACATGTTCAGCAGTTAGAATTGATTTAAAGTAGCCTCCAAATTCATTCAAAACATCTCTACATTGTTATTTTCATACTGTTTCCAATTAAAACATATCAATAACATTATTTTCATAACTTATACACAAATCCATAGCAGAGCCAGAGTCGATACAGCAACGATTATAGATTTTTTTTCTATAATCATTGACATAGTTTTAGATTAAATAATCCATGATAAACGGTTAGATTAAAATAATTCTACCTCATAGTTATGGAAAATATTATATTTAATCATTTCTTTGTATCAGCTGTCTGAAATTGTGAAATATGCAGTTTAGCAGTTCTTTTTGTTTAGATTTATATGTCAAAGCAAATGTATACAAACATTGTTAGTGTTCTCATCACAGCCATGGAGACCAATCAATATTTACTTTTAAAATGTTCACCTCAGAACGTTTAAAGCCAAAGGGGCAAAGCCTACGGTCAGTGTCGAAATGTGAACAGTCCTATAATGGTCCTTGGTATGGTAGCTATATTTTTGTACAACTTAAGCCCAGTTGGTTCAGTAGTTTTTGCACCTATTAGTAATACACATACAGACAGACACCATTAGATTTTTCTATAATAGTATGGATATACGTAGGCTATACAAGTGACGTAATTTGTTTCTAATATTAATATACGTAGACTTACTATTCCTCTTTAAATGCTGTCGTCATAGTTTTATTGAAGATTGTACGAATTTGAGTTGAGCCACCAATGAGTGGTGCACTGATGCCAATTACGAATATTTTCCAAATATGCCAACTTTTGACAAAACCTATCTAAAATATAAGTTACTTTCAGGCTTATTTAAAGTCTTGTCATCCATATAAGTATCACAAACTACAAGAGAAGAGATATATTTGACCCTCACGCACTCTGTGAGTGGCTCATGCAACTTGTCCAATTTGTGTACATTGTTGGCTACAAGTTTTCCATATATATATATATATATATATATATATAGGAAGTCTGATTCTGCATTTAAACGTATAGGACTACTTTTACCGTACATGTATTTATTGGGTAAATTTATTGGGTCTAATTAAGCTATATTATTATACTGTATTGAGAGCATTGTTTTCATATAGAAGCTACCGAGAGTCTACGAGTGATACAAGTCGTGTTAGGATTCTACTACATCTACTGTGTAATGTGTATAATGTATACTGTATAGTGTATAATGGGGTTTGTAGTGTGTAATGTTCAGTGCGTTTGTTTGCAGCACTGTACTGGATGACCTTTTGCGTATCAGCAAGGCTAGCCAGTAAGAAACACAGTAATTACATCCTAATGTCGCCCTAAAGTGTCTTTTTACAGTGACGTAATGATTTAATGTAGTCCGCCATTACTACTGTCCGCTGAAGTTACACTAATGCTACCATGGATTATGTTCTGGGTCCGGGATAAAGGCTAATAGTTTTCATATGGTGTCATCACACTGGCCGTTATTTATATTGTAACGAAATATAAATTTAAATTTTAGTTCTTTATTTAAGAAGGAGTCCAAATCATAAAAAAATATGTATAAACCCTATGCATATATTTGAAATATTTGTTGTAATAATCTTATTAGGGCTTAGTGTACTCACAGCGTTACAAATTATCGTATTTTTTATTGTGTAAATTCAACCTATAATAAGTCAACTGTCGACTAACAGGCGATCAGCTGTAGTGAGGATTATAAAGAGCTTAGCAAGTGTGCGATGTTAGTGTAAGGATTACAATGACCAATTACAGCCTTTGTTACTGACGGCTTAGACTCGCTTGTCTAATGTTTGGCGCAAAATCGCGCCGACTAGAGGATATTCTTAACATCGCAGACTCATCTTAAATGTGGCTTAAAACTTATTGTCTAAATATTGTAGGTTTTGAAGGCTTAAAATTGGACTGTATAATTGTTTGGGTTAACCATAACCATTTTTAAAACAAAATAGAAGATGATCTAGGTTTACTTCGATATCTTTACTCTAGTATACAACTATACAATTACACCCGCAATTCAGCTTACAAAAACAAAGCAATCAAACTTTTGTTTTTTTACTTTTTCTTGGTTTTGTGGATTTACAACATAAAATGTTTTCCTTAACCAGTTTTTGATCCTATTGTGTACCTTACTGATGTAGTTACATCATCTATTTAAAATCAGATCGTAAGTATACATATGCGATACTATTATTGCATTAGGCTATCTTATTTCTTTGCAATAAACATGATGTATTTGATAAAGATAAACGCGAATAACAGAGAGTTTAAAGGGTAAAAGGGGAAAAAGCGAGTCTTAACTACCTTAGCCTACCTATTGATCTAAAACTGTAAACCTGTTTGAAAGTTAAGTAAGAGAGAAAAAGGTATAATTTTCAGCATAACGGTAACAATATTTAGATATATCTAGAAATTTAAGTGTTTTTTTATTTGCTAAGCCTAGTTGATTTTGTAAAAATATTTAGCCAGTGAATTTGATCAAAATAAATCTATATGAATGAATATGTGATTTCTCGTTATGCGTCATATAGCACGGTGTGATGCGTGTCAACAGGTCCTTTGCAAACGCTCGCTCATTAAGGAGAAGGGATTGTATGAAATAAAAGCAACATGTCCCTAGAATAGAAGTGGACGCTATGAGACATCCTGGTTGAGTTCACAATTGCTTAACACTAGAAAGGTTGCAATTCAAATTTCACCGCTAGAATGAGCTAGTGGGCCGCACTGTAAATAAACTTGTGGCAGCCCTTAACTCCAATGAATACTGGATGAAAGTACTTCATTTGGGAGAGCGCGGAGGGCAGCACGGTGTGAACGCTTTGAGCATACTGTATACATGCTATCCTGCGGGTGAATAAGCCTACAGTTGTATTTATGTGGATTGTTATTATAAAAATATCACAAATTTTAATTATAAATCCTACCGCAAAAGTGGGAGAAATATTAAAAACAAATATATTAATCGTTACACTCTAATTTAAAAAATCATGTATGATTGTTAACACCATCACCATTCATGTTGAAACAATGAGTGATAACTATTCTAATGAGTCTTATTTGAATAATTAATTTTGTAGTACGGCTCAAGAACCTTTTCCTTGCAACCTATAAAGCACAATCTTTATCTTTTATCTTTGAAAATACCAAATTAATTTGTTTTCTTATTAGGTGTTAATACTTACCTTAACAAGCTATTACTCTAAGGCCATTCTTTGTCCGCTGTCTTAGACATGCGGTAAATGTCAAGGATGTCTTGGAAAAAACCTGTTGGGTGATTATTTCTGATTTCTAGTTTAATCGTAGCTCACTAAAGAAATATAGCTCAGCTCCCTAGGAAATTTTATATTAATTTGTATTTACTTCACATGTAGACCTAATTACTCTAATTTTAACAATGTTTTTTACAGCTTACTATGTTTAGTTTCAGTTTATGCACTCAACTTCTTTACTGTGTTGTTAGATTTACACAAAAAGCCACAAAGTAAAAATTCTTTTCTTGTTCGTTATAATACTTATTACGGTTAAAGGCAACCTAGTTAAAATGTTTCAGGCTTAAATTTTGAAAATATGCTTTTTACTTAAAAAATCATCCGTATTACACAGTGGGGCCCATTGCTATGATAGTTAAAAAATGCTACATGGGTCTCTTTATATCATAAAATTGTGTGTAATATGTCAGTGTTCATTAAACATCCAGCTAGAGTAAGAACAAAAATAATACTTCTACTCTATAAGTAATCATTATCATCAGTAATCATCTACTGGGCAAATCATTCGGCCGGGAACCATACTTTGTGCTCCAAGAAAATACCCTTTATTATCCCACGTTGTCTCGTCATAGATCACGTAAAGAACCATTATTACAGTAAAATAACCGACATTTAATCTCAACTTTCAAATATAAAATTTACTAAAAACCATAAAAGGGCAAAAGTCTGTGGACATGTTAATGTTCTTAAGACACTTAGGTCTTGTTGTAGTAATGGTAACTAAGTGAACGTCTTGAATTATAACTCTTGCTTATCACTCACTACTTCTGTTTCCCTTAGTTACGGGTTGCTATGTGCAATGCTATGACTATACCGGGTCCTGCAGGCCTCTAAATTGGCTCCGGTCCGGGCTCCATCCTGGGTTAAATAAATCAACAGGTGGGGTCAGATAGGCTATTACGTACACATTTATTTCTTACCAAAGAACTTGATAGAATAGTGCAGTCTTACTTGGTTGTATACGTACTCAACAGATATAGATGTTGTTTCAGGCCGTACAGCCACTGTCCGCTGTAGTACAGTTGAGAGGAGAAGGTGAGGTGACAGGTACAGTACTCCTGGTTCAGCCTCATCCTCCCAACGGTCCAGTTTTTATCTCTGGCAACATCACTGGATTGTCGCCCGGTAAACATGGGTTCCACATACACAGCTTGGGTGACCTCCGAGAGGGCTGCAAGAGTACCGGCTCCCACTACAACCCATTCCAGGTTAGTTCGTGTTCTCAGTTACGAACCAAGGTAATATAACCAATCTAATAATATATACAAGAACTTTTAAGCCAATACAGGTTTTAATTTAAGTCATAGTTCTTCTTCGGTTATTTCCTCAAACAATCGTCATTGCTAAATGTTAAAAATTCGCACGTTTCAACTCCACAGCCTCTTGTGTTCCTCGCGAGCCGCCGTCAGTCGTGCGTCGTGCGGCAGAGTCGTGTTCATGTGATAACATCTTCAGATTTATTTCCGAGTCCACTCCCAGTTAGCTGGCTTCCTCGGGCTCGATCTTCTCCAATCCGGGGGCAACCATGGCCAGAATGTTGTTTTCATGCAGATTAGAGAATTACCATTGCATTGTAAAGCGAAGACATTGGGTCTAGAATTGCTCTTGGAAGTTACTAGGGAATATTTCAACCCTTTGTTGAAAAGGATTACTAAAATACATCATTTTTAAAATGACAATCAGTATTTTCTTAGTTTATGTTGGTTTAAACATTGCCATTTCCTGATATTAGTTTCGAATATAATGGAGACACAAAGACTGACCCTAACTCGTTTCCTCGTATAATAATATAGGATACTTATCTCCTACTTTATGTTTTGATGGGTTGTGCCTGTGCAGACTAACCACGGAGGACCGGTGGACCCGTTCAGACATGTGGGAGACCTTGGCAACATAGAGGCAGGCGAAGATGGTGTCGTGACTCTCCAGATGTCAGACCATGTAATCTCCCTGAGTGGTCCTCAGAGTGTGCTGGGCCGTAGCATCGTCGTCCACGAGAAGGTAACAATAGAGAGTAGTAGTTGTACCACTGTAGGGGTAACCATACTTGGTAACATGGTGGCAGGAGAGGACGGCGTCGTGACTCTCCAGATGTCAGACCATGTAATCTCCCTGAGCGGTCCTCAGAGTGTGCTGGGCCGTAGCATCGTCGTCCACGAGAAGGTAACAGTAGAGAGTTATAGTTGTACCGTAGGGGTAACCATACTTGGTAACATGGTGGCAGGGAGGACGGCGTCGTGACTCTCCAGATGTCAAACCATGTAATCTCCCTGAGCGGTCCTCAGAGTGTGCTGGGCCGTAGCATCGTCGTCCACGAGAAGGTAACAATAGAGAGTAATAGTTGTACCACTGTAGGGGTGACCATACTTGGTAACATGGTGGCAGGGAGGACGGCGTCGTGACTCTCCAGATGTCAGACTATGTAATCTCCCTGAGCGGTCCTCAGAGTGTGCTCGGCCGTAGCATGTCGTCCACGAGAAGGTAACAATAGAGAGTAATAGTTGTACCACTGTAGGGGTAACCATACTTGGTAACATGGTGGCAGGGAGGACGGCGTCGTGACTCTCCAGATGTCAGACTATGTAATCTCCCTGAGCGGTCCTCAGAGTGTGCTGGGCCGTAGCATCGTCGTCCACGAGAAGGTAACAATAGAGAGTAATAGTTGTACCACTGTAGGGGTAACCATACTTGGTAACATGGTGGCAGGGAGGACGGCGTCGTGACTCTCCAGATGTCAGACTATGTAATCTCCCTGAGCGGTCCTCAGAGTGTGCTCGGCCGTAGCATGTCGTCCACGAGAAGGTAACAATAGAGAGTAATAGTTGTACCACTGTAGGGGTGACCATACGTGGTAACATGGAGGCAGGAGAGGACGGCGTCGTGACTCTCCAGATGCCAGACCATGTAATCTCCCTGAGCGGTCCTCAGAGTGTGCTGGGCCGTAGCATCGTCGTCCACGAGAAGGTAACAATAGAGAGTAATAGTTGTACCACTGTAGGGGTAACCACACTTGGTAACATGGAGGCAGGAGAGGACGGCGTCGTGACTCTCGAGATGTCAGACCATGTAATCTCCCTGAGCGGTCCTCAGAGTGTGCTGGGCCGTAGCATCGTCGTCCACGAGAAGGTAACAATAGAGAGTAATAGTTGTACCACTGTAGGGGTAACCATACTTGGTAACATGGAGGCAGGGGAGGACGGTGACGTGACTCTCCAGATGTCAGACCATGTAATCTCCCTGAGCGGTCCTCAGAGTGTGCTGGGCCGTAGCATCGTCGTCCACGTGAAGGTAACAAAAGAGAGTAATAGTTGTACCACTGTAGGGGTAACCATACTTGGTAACATGGAGGCAGGGGAGGACGGTGACGTGACTCTCCAGATGTCAGACCATGTAATCTCCCTGAGCGGTCCTCAGAGTGTGCTGGGCCGTAGCATCGTCGTCCACGAGAAGGTAACAATAGAGAGTAATAGTTGTACCATTGTAGGGGTAACCATACTTGGTAACATGGAGGCAGGGGAGGACGGTGACGTGACTCTCCAGATGTCAGACCATGTAATCTCCATGAGCGGTCCTCAGAGTGTGCTGGGCCGTAGCATCGTCGTCCACGAGAAGGTAACAAAAGAGAGTAATAGTTGTACCACTGTAGGGGTAACCATACTTGGTAACATGGAGGCAGGAGAGGACGGTGACGTGACTCTCCAGATGTCAGACCATGTAATTTCCCTGAGCGGTCCTCAGAGTGTGCTGGGCCGTAGCATCGTCGTCCACGAGAAGGTAACAAAAGAGAGTAATAGTTGTACCACTGTAGGGGTAACCATACTTGGTAACATGGAGTCAGGGGAGGTCGAACGAGAAGGTAACGATAGAGAGTATGCAAACTTTAGAGTACTATTCGGAGTATATCTTATGGTGGATAAATAAATGTTTCATATAGAAACTTATAAATAATGTTGTTACAACGTAAACATATGACGGATAAAGTAATGTATGTTTACTGAAGAAGCCTGGTAGTTAGTTTTAATATAATGTTTATAGTGTAGCCTACCTTATTTGATTTGTTATCGTAGAAGCATTTGGCATATGCGTTAATAAAAAAATCATTTTAGTTGGGTAATGGTATATCCTTGAATGATCCCCAGAGTTTGCGGGACCGCAGCACCGTTTTCCATGGAAGTAATATGTAGGCTATAGAATATTTTAAAGTGGTACCTCATGCTTAGTAAATTTGTTGTAAAAAAAAACTACGTGAACGTGCATGGATCACAATCCATTATCCCTAAAGGCCAAAGATTCATTGGATATAGAAAGAAGTATTAATAGAAAATTATTTCGAAGAATCATACCATTAACAGAATAATGTAATTTAAAATAATAAGCATGGCTACTATTTATAATCCAAATTGAGCCTTCATTTAACTTCAACTTATTATAATAGAAACTTTTTTCCTCTGACAATGTTATGTAAACTATTTATAAATATGATGTTGTAAAGATGATAATGACAATATCCTGATAAAATAACACAATAAACAATGTCCAATATTTAATGTTTTCATAAGGATTTGTTACCACTAAACAGTCATTTGTGCAACTAGTGAGAAAAGTGAGCAATTGCCTCACTCGAGAGAAATCCTTCTCGAGAGAATGCTTCTCGAGTGAGGCGATTGCACTTTGCACTCGAATTGCACATTATATTTGTCCTACAGTTACCATAAAACAAAATTGGTAAAGAAACGGGCCTTCACGTTGCAAATTTGGAGTGAGACAATGTTAACATTGTCTCACTGATGAGCGAATTGGTCACTTTGCTTTCTCAAATCAGTGAGAGAAAATGTACATTGTTAGGTAACTGTAGGAAAAGCAATTTTGAACACTGTCAATAGTTGAAAATCTTTGGTTAACCAGTCTAATGTTGCTCCAGGGAGATGACCTGGGCCGAGGCGGTGACCAGGAGTCGCTCAAGACGGGTAACGCCGGTGGACGTGTCGCCTGTGGGGTGATCGGCGTCGCGCAGAGTATGTCACCTCCACCTCCAGCGCCCCAGACACCACCCCCGGGGGCAGAGGCCGCCGCCCCCTACCCTGCTGAGGCTGAACAACAATGAACAACACCTTACAACATGCTATAGCGACTACACGGGACTATTGAAACATCTACCAAAGACACCTAAGGGAAATGTCAATGCTTAACTTTTCTGCATGTTCTCTTGCTAGGTAATCTGAATTAAAACGTGTTTAATGTCGTGACGAATTTTTGCACTATTACTTCAACTTTAAACTATTTAACTATTCAAATATTTAAATTTTGTACAATTATCTTGCTCAATTAATATCTGATCTTATTGTAAACGTATACAATATCATTGTAACTTTTACTCTCCTGTTTGGGTTTTAACCTTAAACTATTTTTTTTACGATTCAGTTTCGTCAATTGCTTACATTAAATACCCAAATAACGCAACAATTGTCAGTTAGAATCAGATAGAGGCTTATAGAGCTATAATAATATTTTGTTGCTATACATTATTATGAAATAATCTAACTTTCCTTAATTAACAGTAATCCTCTATGCTATACTGAGATCTAGGGTGATGTAAAATACACCAAAAGAGTTTTATGTTAGTTTTCGTGAACATTTAAAAGTGAAACTGCAGTTGATAGCAACGGAGAAACTAACGTTCAACAAATTTGTACTTAACGTCATAAACAATACTGTTCTTTTATCACAAATTATACACTTAATTATGAGACTATTCAATCTCATTGTTACGATGTGTTGTTCCTTAATGTTAAATAGTTATAAAGAATAGTAGCCTTCTAGTAGGTAGTCATAAAATGTATGAAAATGTTATTCTCAATTATGTGAAGGTACATCAAGCTATTTAAGTTGTAGAACTGGTTAAAATAGTTGACACAACATTCTGATTTAAAATCTAATTTTGAATCTAATTTTAGATTTATCAAATTACAGGTAATGTAAGATGATTATGTGAGTACGTTTTTAACAAGTTGTCTATACTCCATTTATAATGTTTCTTTATTTTAATCCCTAATTCCTTACCCTCAACACATTTTAGTACACTCCCAAGCGGTATATGTTTAGTCTCTAGTACGTTTAAACATTGCCTAAAGAAATACATCACTTAACTTACTAGCCTAAATAATTAATATTTAGGTCTACTAAATTAGGTTAAAAGACAGGCGGTTAAAATTTCTTTTAGTTGTTTGAAATTTTCACATTTTTAAAGAAAAAATGTTTTGAAATTTGGAAAACAACTAACTTAGAATAAAAACCCAAATAATCTAACTACAGTATTAAAATATGTTTTAACAGGAATAATACAGGTTTAACGTTATATCAATTCTAGAACAAGTTAAATTGGTATTAGCACCCATTATTTGTATTGTACGAGTACAACCAATAAGGAGCGAAGCTATGGTTCAACTACTACCGTTTTATACATAAGTTGTGGCACTTTAACTGAGCAAGCCAATGTTTATCTTGAGTAGTTCAGGTTGGTTTTGAAAAGACATATCTTTACGTTTGGTTTGTGTTTACACAGTTGACAATTCTTTAAATGGATAAAAAAAAATTGGCTTTTCTTAAATTTATCACCTTTAAAAACGAATATAAAAGTGATTAAATCGTAAAGATAATATGTTGATTAATTTTACTCGTATTAAATTTCCTTCATTGGTGTTATTTAAAAAGATTGCATACTAGAACCATAACTCCCTAAAAAAATGCTGATTATTGAAAATATTTTGTGTAATGTGTGGGTATTATGTCGAAATGGTTTTATGAACAAGTTAATGCATACTTACATAGCATAATATCATCGTTTTTCTGCATGCTTTAAAAAGTGTTCTTGTATTTTGCAATAGATGAAAGTGAACCAGTACAATTCCCACACATACTCTCAAGGTTTGTAGCAATTAAGATGCTACGTCAACTTCAGAATGGCATTCATAATCATGTCCCTTATAAATCAATCAGAACACACTAACACTTATATAACGCTAGTAAACTGCAGGCATGCTAACTGTTCCCTTCAAGGATGACATATAGTGGTGGTGGCATTACTGCTAGCGCATGCATTATGCTTGAGTTTAATCACGGATAGGTAATTAACTAATCGAATCATTTCATGACTATGACAGACTACAGTCAGGGCTGCCGAGATGCATTTCAATGTTGTGAGAGACCTTTTCATAACGTAACAAAACAATTTCACATAACGTAATTTGCACTTTTTAGGCACCTTGATATCAAAATATTGCCAATCGTAAATTATTTGTGTCTTGGTTTGTTACATGGTCTCCTTGGAGTATAGTTGTAATGGAAAATTTTTGATTCAATTCTTTTACCTAACCTAAATATTATTCATCTAAATTGCATTGTTTGGTGAATTTCTGTAGTGACGTGTATCTATTTACTTACATCTCTGTCATTAAAATACTAACATAAACTTCCGAAATTTTAGAAAGGGCCTCTACACCTCATTTCCGATATATATATATTCGACCAATCAATTGCTTCTCTTTAATTAGGGTTCATTATAAAACAAAGATCCTGTGTTACTTGGTTGAAAAATTTACTGTTGAAAATTCCTTGGTAGAATAAGTATTTGTCCTTTAACCACCCGTGCTCCAGCTGTCCTAATTGTAACAGTTTAGTACCTTGTGAATCGTAGTGTTTTAAGACCATTTATTCGCGTGAGAATAGTTAAACATTTGTTGTATCTTCTTTTTTATTATTTAAATAGATAGCACACTATTGCATCTAAAATAACCGGATCGCATATTATTATATGTATGTGAATATCTTCTTTGGACAACGTGTTAACCAAGAAACATACGCGTGCCTTTACAGTTACGACGCTTAACAAGGAAGTGGTTTTCATAGAACAAAGAAGCTGATTCAACAATGCATCATTCATTGGCCGACTGCTGGTGCTACCTATAATCTGGCAACCTGTGTTTACGGTCTATTACAGAGACAAATAAGGGTCCCTGTGAAAAACACGCGGTGACTAGGACTGGTTATTACAGGCTTCTGGCTCGTTTGGCTACTAATTAATTGTAATAGGCTCCAAAACCACCTCATTTGACAAGAGCTGAGTGAGTAGGTGTTTGTTGACGTGTGTGTGTGTGCGTGTGCGTGTGTGAGTTTGATTACACCAATCTAGAGGCAGGCGTCGCTCATCGCGTTACGCCTTATCTAATAACAGGATCCCTGACTAGAACGTGTCCAAACATCCTTCAATACATGAATAATTGTTTGTTAACGACCCGCCCGGAGCTACCTCTGCCCACGGACCTCTGCCCAACACCACTAGCCGTACCTGGTACAAGCGTTAGGTAGTACTTTAAATATGCTAAAACGATGTGCTAGCGTTTTGAACTAGGTACATCTGTGATAGTCAAATTAGGTATAGGCTGATCATTGACTATTTGTGGAAGTATAATATTTAATCCTATATTTAAATAGAAGCCAGCTTATAATACAAATGAACGTAGCTCAGTTTAGCCTCCGACTGAGTGCGCTGATGTATGTTACAGATTTCTGTTGAATACGTTGACATTTCAAAGAAGCCGAACTGAATAATAACGACTTATCAAGTAAAACATAGCACCTTTAAGAGATCCTGGAACTTATCTGTTTCAACTCATAATTTCATAAAACAATTTTAAAAGTAAAAAAGAAAATTTATAATTTTACAGTACCCTAGATATTTCAATTACTATCCTTTTAGTATTTTAAAGCATATTTTGAGATGGTAAATAACACTTTAGCGACTGGTTGAAATTAGCATAGCTCTTATGTCAGTTAAAACGAAGATGACCGTCAACTTTCAGGGACTTTCTTGTAAAACGATTATAAAACCTCAAAGAAATGTCTTAATCTCACATTGCCCTACTTATTTAATTTACAATTACTTTGGGATTTAAAAAAAAAATTTTGATGATAAAGAACTCTTTATCGGATGTTTGAAATTAATCCAAAATGGCCACCAGCCTCCAAGGACTCTTAACGTCGCATCGACAATCTCTAAGTAACTATCTCTCAAGTTAGTATAAAAAACTAAGTGATTGAAATAGGTTTTTAGACTGCAACACAGAATGTGAGTGTCTTATTAATTTTTTTTTACTGGCTATCGTAAGTCCATCTAAATGGTATGTCTAATGTCAATGGTACAATCCATCCAGAGTAAACTATTGTATAACTAATATAGTGTTGAGTGAGATGTGGTATTGTTACCTCACGTATTATCGTAGTTGATTAATAGCTATTTACATTACAAGTGTAGTAAGAGCGTTTTTACTTCACGCAGGTGAATGTTGTGCAACGAGCGGAAGCGAGTTGCATAATTCACCTAAGTGATGTAAACACGATCTTGCGTAACGTGTAACGTACAAGACTTTACCTGACCCGACAATATACATGGGTTTACGTACAATATTTTTCATTATCCAATTCACTCATCTTCTATCAGTAACGTTCTTTTACTAACAAAAGCTAGGTTATGTAGGAAAATACTTTAAAGCATAACAATAACATTAAAGCGCACAGCTGATTTCTAGCGTTGAACGTCGTTGGCTCCATAGAGTTATATTTTTTAAGTTAAGCACTCAATGTTATTTAAATGGGTTTCTTTACATCACCGAGTGAGTTTTTGATACTTTAAATCACTCGAGAAGTAAGGAAGTTGTATACATCACGCTTGGGATAGGGAAGTTTAACATGGCGGGTTAGGTAAATAACATAAAACTAGCCTCTTTCATTGAAATGCAGTTAATTTTTAACAAATATGAAGCAAATAACTTTTCAGTACAAATCTACTATTCTTAGGTTATTGCTGGAAAATCAAATGTTCCTAAAAAACCAGTTAGTTTGCTATCTGAGAGAAGCTGAGCTGAAAATGATTGATTTGATGAAAAATCACGTGCAGTCAGTTTATACAGTGGAAGGTCCAAATGAAGGTAGATTTCATTACTTAGATAAGGCCCCACAATTGAAGTGATAAGGATCCCATCATTGCATTTAATGACGGCGTTCCTGTGCTGGCAGCAATGCCAAATTGAAATTATTTTTACAAACATAAACATACTATGGAATATACATACGTGGAGGTAAAATAAAAATATTAAGAGCGGTTCTGTCTATACTCAAGTTTGTATAATCATTTGAATAGTTAGCTTTAATATTATTGCAATTAATTATGCTTAAACTATTGATAAACAGAGTGCTATTCTGTTCATCTAAATTTCTTTCAACACAAATAAGATTCCTTGTTTAAAGGGTTAATAGCACCAATAGTCTAGTTAACTACTTAACATAACGTACACCAAGACTTAAAATAATTTTGAATGTTTAACATTTATTTTTCACAATTCATCGTTGTCGCGTTACTAGTTTTCACGATTTCAACTGAATGAGTGATTTAAGAATTCATAAACATGGATGAAATTAAACCACACGGTAGAGCGAATAGTAACGTAATAGTTACTACACTACCTTTACTTGTGATGTTTTTAACATCATGTATAATTTTGTATTTGTTTTTTTATTTGCCTTCAGCCTAACATCGCAGCTGCTCCTGACGTCATAAAATGCATAACGCACACCTTTGAGGTGCGGCATTCTGTCTGTATACAGGCACCTTTTGCTTGTGTTGTACCTCAGAGTAATAAAACAAATAACGTTTTGTTTTATTACTCTGAGGTTGTACGATTCATGATTGTAATCAATGTTCAATCCTTCCTTTGTAGTAATTCATTTAGAAACATGCTAAATTTACCAGAGATTAAAAGAAATAGTAGTACTTAAAAATGGGATGATACGAATAGCTATGAGTCGTTTAAATCATCCTAACAAATTGTAATTATTTGTTTTGTAATTTTTCATAATTTATATTCTTCTTACAATTCATGCAGTTATTGTGAGGTATGGAATGGATAGAAAAGAGTAGCCTCATATCTACATTTTATGTTAAACATGCTGTCCAGTACTCCAGTACTA